ATGCACTGATGCCTTCCCTGTCTCCCAAACTGTAAAGCCAGGCATGTCTGTATCTTTTCTGACGTTACTTTCGCTAAAAAAATATATATTGTTTACTACATGGAATCTGGCATGATAATTTTATTAAAGGGATGCCAAGGAAGGATTACCAGCAACACTTTGCACACTCCACTTTGAAGATCTGCACATTTCTCACGCATATCACTTGGTGTAGTGGGTTTATATCCAGTTACAGTCAGTAAATTCTGCCTCCACTAGAAGAGCAGGCAGTTTCTGCATCTGAAGATAACCATACATATACATGCGCCGCGGGGAAATTCACTTGGCAAGGCTAGGCTGGCTGTCCTGCTGTCTGGGATTAAATCGCACTTGCAGAAAACGGTGACTTTCTACTTGTAGAGTTATTTAGTGGTACCAATAAAAACGATGGCCTTGTTGTTCCAGGGGTTACCTACCAATACAGTACATGATTACTCAACATAATTAGCCTAAAGACACCAAGAGCTGCATTGCTCTAAGTAGCCATGCTTTATAATCACTGCAGCAAGACTAATTAGTCCAAGCAGAGGGCTACGCTCGCAGATAACACTGCTTCGATAGCTTAGCTACCTCGTTTAGTAAATGACCCCTGATACCTCTCAACACAACTACATTGTGAAATATTAAATAAAAAATATATATATCCAGAGGGTGGCAAGAAACAGCCAGCTCGTGTGATTTCCGATTACCACTGGAAACACAGCCTGTTACCCTTACGCAGACATCAATCTGAGTTTGCCAAAAAAAAAGGAAAAAAAGAAAGTAATACAGTAACGTTGACGTGTCAAAGGTCAGATTCTGTAACCTCACAAACATGCAAGGTTTCCATCTCCTTGCAATAAGAGGCTAAAATCTGGTCCTCGTTTTGGCCCTTCTGCTGTAGTTCAACATCAAACCTTCCTTCAAACTACCTTGCAATCAGTCCTTTCTTTCTGACTTCCTTCCTTGCCTACTGATTTCCTTCACAGTCATCTCTGACACTTCCCTTGCACTTTTTTAGCTTTCAGATTTCCTCTGAGGACCAAGTAGCTCAAGTACAAGACCCTTATGCTCTAAATTATGCTGCTAGCAGAGCTAAAAAGGTCTGCTTTCCGGCAACCTGTGGCAGTCAGATACAAGCTTGGCTGGATCCTAAAACACTAAAAGACCAGAATAGGTTACAGCAATATCATCTAGTTAAATCTATGTAATTTATAGGGTCTCCTTACTACCTAAATAATAAATATCAATACCTGCATCTTTCGTATTATGAGGAGGTATAAACAAGTGATTTAACCTCAATAGTTAATGTGTAACAAACCATTTGGTAACTACAACTGTCTGTCCAACAAACCGAAAAAAAAAAAAACCAACTGAGATAGAAACAGATACCTCAAGCTTGCCGGAAATAGCTGTATGAGTTTCGAGGCCTTTTTTTTTTTACCTACTTTCGTGGCCCTCCTGTAAAGCAAATATAATTTATTACTAGTCCTGCAGAGAGAGCCTGAAGTTTTTTCCTCTCCCCCTCTGCAAAAAGCTGCCTTGTTTGTGTCTCTGCCCTGTAGCAAACAAGAAGATAAATGCGACATTTATGCCAAAGTAATCATTTTAGATCTGTTGTTTTGACCTCTAAGCTAAATTTTCTGTATTACATGCCAGTGGATCAGATAAACCAGCACATTTTTTTTCCTGACAACTGAACCCTGTAACGTATGCACAGCTCTGCTCAACAAATTGCTCTATCATTTATTTCTGAACATATGTGTATCAGGAAACAGAGGATGTAGGAAATTTGGCACTATGAGGTATCACACACATCACCCCCCGCTCCTTAGACCCTCTCAAGTTTTCTTTATCTGGGAAACCAATGCACATTTGGACATAAATCCAACTATGAGCAAAATTAGAAATCCTCCCTAAAATGAAAACAGCAGGACAGTGGATATAAATATCTGGAGGACAATATGCTTTACCTTAATAGGTAATTTTGTATATTTTATTTATTGGAGCAAAGATATTCAGCATTCCACCAGAGCAGAAATTTTAGGATTGAAATCATGAGCAACCTTGACTTCTCAAAGACAAGTTTGTACTGGATGTTGTCCAAGATGAACTCTGCTTGACCTGAAAAGTACTACTCACTTTTCAGTTAGAAACCAGTTTCCACAAAGGCTGCTCAAGACCTGCTTTTCAGCTAGACAGACAACACCATCCAGACAAATATTTCTTTTTCTGGCAGATAAAATGGTCTCATCATATCTAATGCAGTGACACGAGTGACAGAAAGCCTGCAGAGAGGCATGGACTCTCTCTGGGTGAACAATGGAGTTGCACACCCTTCATCCCTGTAGCAGCTGATGGTCCGAGGGACTGGGAAATGACCTCGGTCTGCGAAAGGGGGGATTCCCCTCGAGTACATTTCCTCCCTGAGCGCAGGGCAGGACAGTATGTACCAACCACCCCAGGCATCAGTTAAGCAGCTGCAATGCAAAGAGACTTGATGAATCACAAAGTCAGCCCAGCTACGCCTTTAGCAGCACAGCAGGCCAGGCGGCAAAGCCCTGGCCCAAGCGGCTGGCGCACAAAGGCCCTGCAGACCGCAGGGGCAGCGCAGGAAACCACCCCCTGTACCGGGGGGGTTCTTGCAAGCCTTGCCACTCATAGAGGTGTGTGCAGGAGTGGGAAACCCCACTGCAGCATGGGCTTCCCTCAGGCAGCGCTGAGCACTGGGAATCCCACCACCACACACCCTCCTCTCCATCCACCTGCACCAGCTGCAACAGCATCTGACTTCCATCTTAGTACGGCCACTGCCCCAGCAGGAAGCTGGGGCTTGAGCTTTCATGAGTGGCTACTCTCCTGCATTTAACAAGCCAAATTAGTCTTGTTTATACTCCCATGACTTGCATTCCCCTTTTTAATCTCATATGGAAAAACAGTATTTCTGCTTGGAAAAATATTATTATTGCTCTCTCCCTTTCTTTTTTTTCCCCCCCTATCACTTTCACTAGACATTGCCTTTTTTTTTTTTTACTTTCCATTTGAAATCCTTTGCCCCAGCAAATCTTCTCAGCACATTTCTCAGTTACAGCCTGGGTAAAACAGAAAATGAGCTTCACTTGGCTAAACTTAGCTTCTTTCCATCTTTCTAAGTCTCACCTGACACCCACACCTTTTTGTCTTGCGTTGGAAACCTTCCGAAAGGGTTGCCTTTTAGAATAAGCAGTAAATAGCTATTCTTTCAGCCCTCACCAATCCACCTCATTAGAAATGGGATTAAGCTATTTTTTAGCCAAACACAAACAGGAGTACCCACCGCAACCACAAGTACCTCTCTACCGCTGCTCTCCAAATAAAGATGGTAAAATTTGTTCTAAAAGGAGAATCAAAAGTGTTGCTTTCTGAAGCACCAGTTGCACGGTAGTGATTTTAGAAATTTAAGACAGCTCGAACCTGCTGCCGGATTATTTTTAACAGGACCGTTGTGTGCAAGGTCAATTTGGAGACCGCCTGGCCATGGAGGGTGAGAGGTCCCTGAAGCAAAGCCCTGGCTGCAGCCAGGAATCCTCTCTCCAGAAGAAGGTTTTGAATTAATTTATAAGAGAGGACAAAAGATGAGCCACTGATTTCTGAGCCTTTAGGACACTGCCACCATATGCAAACATCACTTTTTCTTTTTAGTTTTCCAGTCTTCAGTCAGATGACGGTGAGGTTGTCTACTGAAAACATAGGTGAGGCAAGGCAGCTGGTGTCAGACAGCTGGGAAATGAGCAGAGTTCAAGGTTCAGCTATTATTAAAAAGCATACACATGTTTCTATATTTATTCCCACTTTACAGCTCCAAATAAAACACATGCAGTTCTGATGAGTTTACAACTTTAAATACAACGCAAGAAAAAAACCCTAAGATTCATCTGGGAAAACCATACTAACATATCCAAAAGCACCAGAAGGATTATTATTTTTTTCTGCCACCACATATACAGCTACGTTTCTAAAAATATGCTACTAGCCCTCTAACTAAACATAACCAAACAGAAAAAACACTGCCTTACAAACACAGCCAGGATTTGAAATCAAGAGGCCTGTTCCTCACCCCAGCTCCATCAGAGGCCTCCTTGAAAAGCCACTTAAGAGGATCCATACATTGCAGTATGCTGTACACTCCAGCAAGCTTCAGATGTGGGTCTGACAAGCGGCAGGGAGCTCAGCAGGGCCAGCTGAACTATTTTCCCCACTTCTCAGGCAGATTTCACAGGGCTGATCATCACTGCTCCCAGCCTGATACCTCTGGCACAATAACTAGCTCACTTCCTGCAACCAGAGAGCAAGCTAGCAGAGACATGCCCCTCCATCTCGGGGCACGGCTCCATTTCTCCAGAGAAAGAACAAGAAAGATGTGTAATCTGGGTCATTCCTGTACTTAGATGCTTTGTCCCTCAGAAGGGCAAAATTATTTTAGCAAGTAAAAATAATGCACGCAGTGAAAACACCATCAATGGACTGACCATGCAGCAGCCCTATCTGAAAAGGTGTTTCCAGCACTTGCAGAGCCTACTATTGATACTCTCCTACCCTGCCTGCACCCTTGACACGGTGCTGACCCAGTGGCTCTCCCTGGGGTCTGCAGACTGAAAGGCCAGAGCAGCTGTGAAGTCTGACGTGACAAATAAAAAAACCTCTACATGTAAGAAAATGTGGCTATAACTGAGAGGCAGAGGAATGAAAACAATCTCCCCCATACCAGAAGGCAGATGGCTGGGCACAATCTAAATATCTTTTCTACATGCCTTGCAAAAATCCATTCAAAACCAAACAGCAACCACCACCACCACCAAGACATATAGCTGTGGCAAACTCCAGCTGTGAGATAATTCAATAACCACCTATTTTTTTCCCCCCTTTACACCAGAAAAATGTTAAGCCCAAAGAGTTTTCCCCAGGGCCCTGCACTGGCGGCAGGCCAGGCACAGGGTACTCACTGCAGGCTCCGCAGGTGAAGCAGCCGTCATGGTAGAGGTTGCCCATGGCCTGGCAAGCCTGGTTTGCTCCATACACCCCCTTGCTGCACTTCACACAGGTCCCTGGAAGAGAGAGAGGGAGAGAGGTCAGAAGTGGGACCCAGCAGGGAGGCTGGGGTCACCGGCTGGGTGACCACTCCTGTAATTCTGCATGGTGGCTCAGCAGCTTAGGACCAGGTGGTCCACTGAAGCCAGAAGATCTAAGTGACATCAGCATCACTCGCCCTGAGAGATTACAGGGTGTTAACAGGGTCACGATGGTCACCAAACCTCCACAGCAAAAGCCTTTTGCACAAGAACAGCCCTATCTGACTACAGCAACATCTCCTTCTCTCATCCTTCCCCACAACCTTTATGTACATTTAAAACCACTTAAGGACCCTCCCAAAAGCCTGGGTGGTAGTAAATGGTGTTCAGGGCCATTCACAGACCAATAGTTTCTGCTACTTACTGCATAAAATAAGCTTGTTGGTTGCAACTGATGTGAGGGGCTAACTGAAGACGTGTGTTTTCCTTTAAATCTTCATTGCTTGCAGACCCCAATCACATCTACTTAAGGCCCTAAGGATTTCCCACTGAAACAGAGCAGGACTACCTGACACCTACCTCTCTTCCCTCTGTCAGCCATGTCTCAACAGAGACCCAACGCAGGTGCTACCTACAGACCACATATCCTGCCCAAATGTTCCTCTCACTTCTTGGAGGACAAGGCAAGAAAGAAGTCAGGTTTAAGGGGAGGACACCTGCTGGTGGCAGCAGTGGAGGGGGGCTGACTCTCAGGTGGCCTGTGGGGCAAAGGAGAGCAGGGGGAAGCACACACAGTGAACTTCTGGCTATAAGCCATCCCAAGTACAAGTCCAAGCTCCTCTCACACCCAGGCTTTCCTGCCATCACCATCATCTAAAGACCAGGGTCAGCTCTGGAGCTCCAGAGGAGAGAGAAGATGATCACACTTGGCTGTTCAGCTCAGTCTCTTGCCAGTACAGCCAAGTACGTTTCCACCCGCAGCCCAATGTGGGGCTCCAACCCAAAATCTGAGCCGGGCAGAGAGCACAGGGTGAGGATTTCTACCTCACAAGGAAGCCTCTGGGACCCTCCAGGCACAGACCTGCGTGACAGGGGGTGGGAATAGCAGCAACAGAGCAGATGCACAGTGGTGGTGGTGGGGAGGGACTGCAGGGAGACTTCAGCACAGCAGGTTCACAAAGGGTGTTGTGTGTTCATCTAGGGACTCTCAAATCTCACCACATTTTGATGTAAACCTATTTTGGTAACAGAATAAGAAGTGAAAACTGAGTTTCACACCCTTGACAGCATCCACTAGCAGGACCTGCTCCCTTCACCTTGCAGTGAGAAAGGCAGCAAAGCCACCCAAAACCACTATTAGTGGCTGAGGAGGGAAAGTCATTGTCCAAGGAAAATGACATATCAGGCCAGTTGGCTTCAGGCATTACCCTGTGATTGTGACAGATCAGTTTTAAAGCAGCATCACCCTTTAACTACCTCTAAATGAGCAATGTTAATCCATGTTTAAGCAAATAATAAACACAAATTTACCCAAAAGGGGCAGTGTGAAGGACAAACATAAGATGTGCTTATGTCTCTGGTCTGTGATGACCTTGCAGATGTGACTTCACCTCCAGGTCTCTCCTTTCACAACTTCTCAGTCCCATCCACCTCAGCTCTTAACCTCCCTGGGGCAGGCACTGTTGGTCATGTCTTGCTCCTACTGGCCCAAGAAACGGGACAGCATCATCTTACTGGAGATCCTTAGTCATGCTGTGGTTAACAAAATTTCACTTCTTTCAGGGCACCACAAGCTTCAGAGTAATTAGAAAAATCTGGTGAAAGCTAGGAAGAAACCCAACATACTTACGACAGTGCTGAAAAGTAACTCCCAACTGCAGCAGCACCACGTTGGCACTCCCAGGGTAGTTAACAATTTCTTCCTGCAGCCAATAGCTGCAGCTGTCAGTTTTCACACTACAGGGATAAAAATGCTCAGGAGCCCTTTGCATGTGGTTGCTGAAAAGCAGATCCTTCTTTTTCCCAGGGCAGACCTGGCTCTCAGTGCTGCAGCTGCCTGTGTGCATTCAGCCAGCACGCTGAAAGCCATCCTAGCACTGCTCCAAGCAACACTGCACTCAGAGCCAGAGTCCAAACTGACACAAACCTGGAGAGAAGGCTGCAGAGAATAATTAGTTACTCTGTTTTGTCCAAATCCGACCTGAACTGAAATGCTAGCTTGGCTGCAGGCCCACCCCAGCACGCAGATTGGCACCAAGTTAGCAACACTTACTGGCTCTTTTTGAACCAAGCAGATTTATCTCACTTATTGAAAGAAACATTTTAAGAAAGCAAAAGATAAATCACACAAGCCTCAGAAAAAAAAAAAACAAAAAAAAAACCAAAAAAAACCAAAAAACCCACACAAAACCCCAAACCAAACACACCCCTCCCCAAAACAAAAACAAACAAAAAAACCAGAAAAGACAAGACAAAGAAAAGAAAATCTGGCTTTTCAAATGGATGTGTTCTCCCAGAAATTCACACATTCAGCGGCAACATGAGGTGCCGTGAAGTCGTCTGACACAAGATCTAACAGCTACATCACAAAATTCACTCTCAACTACAGCAATGCAGAGCAGAAAGTTTTGAGCAAACCTGCTGATTTTGCTGCTTGAAACCTTCTTTCCACGACATTCACCAGGGTTTCCACAGAACCACTATTTATTGCACTGCAAGTGCTGCATTTTCCTCTTCTCTGTGCCAATGAGCAGCTGATCCAGAAAAAAATCACCAGCTTGCTCCGATTTCCTCCTTTCCAGAAAGCAGCCGGGTGATACTGAATATGGATGAGCAGCAAAGAAGAAGCAGGAGGCAGAAGGCACAGCAGCTGAGCGCAGGCACAGCACACAGTAAAGGTGCTGGCAGGCATCTAAAGCCACTATAAAATACCCTAATGCAAATCCCATGAAGGGCAAAAATTGCCTCTGCTGTCTCTTGTCCATGCCATCTAGGCTTCAGAGCGTAGGCACTGCCCCTGCACTGTCCCTCTATGGGATAGATGATGGTCCAGCCAGATCCTGCAGGAGCTGCCCAGGCTCCTACATCCATAACCAAACCTTCCTCTACCACCCACCCCTTGACTGCTCCCCCCATCCTTCCTCCTTGCTTTCAGTACATGCTCCATTTCACACCCAGATTAATTCTTGTATCCACTTCTTTAAATATTTAGGCCCTTAAAACATGGAAAATAGTCACAGAATGAAAGGGCTTTTAAAATAAATTGACAACATTGTCTGTAAAACGTATAATGTGCTAAATTACCCAACTACATAATAGCCAGCCATGCTATAAATATTTATAGATGTCCTGTGGCAAGGCTGGCAATTGGAAAATGGCATTATGACAAATCTGTGTATAGCTTATGCTTCTATCTGCTAAATCTTACCTGGAAGCCAATTAAATCTCACTAGCAATTGGAATTACTCTAGAAATAAGTCTTTGCTTCTTCCAAATACAATATTGTGAAGTATTTTAAGCAACATACTTGAGTTCATCTCTGGACTTAATCTCTGACTCTCAGCACACCTGGCCTGAAAGGGGAAAAAATGTGGTTTTCATTGATTTTTCCTTTCCACTTTTTTTTTCCTGCTGTTTGCTCCCTGCTGCCTTAATGATCCTGTTCTTTTGGCTTAGGCCATGCAAGGAAAAAGCAATACCTGTTGCTGACAGCAGCCACTCACTGAGCTTGGCAACATGTGTGTGAAGCCAGTGTGATGGAAGGCAGCACAACACAAGCCACATCCAACCTCATCCCGCCGTGAAACGGGCTCTGTGCCCTGCTCCACGCCAGCTCTGATCACAATTTCCCGAAACAGTGCTGAGCGTGCTTTCTGCTAGCCAGGGTGTAGAGTTAAAATGTCAGCATCATCAGTCCAGCCCCACATGCCACTGACACTAGTCAGCAGCTCTGGGTAATCTGCTTGCCATAGAGCAGCTTTTAGCAAAAAAATTTGTCCTCAGCTCAAAGCAGAATGATCCTGAGTAGCCACAGACCAGCAAGATGCCTGATTTCTGCACTGGGTTACTTTGCTGCATGTAACAAGTGCTTATGCAAGCGCTGATCTGAGCTGATAGCTCCTCCAAAATTACAGCTTTTAACCTCAGACAATGTTATTAAGGTGAAATTAAAGGTTTATCTCTAGCCACCAGGATTGACAAGCCCGAAGCACCACACACGCGCAGCACCGGTAAATTCATGCTCGAGTACACCGGCAGAAGGGTAGCAAGATTTGGAAAGGGAAAGGGATGGAAATTGCTGATTTCGGCTCAATTTCTGCTGGCAGGGCAGCCAGGCCCCGCACAACAAAGAGATCTCTGTTCCCTTTCGCATCATGAGGCAAGCAACCCGCCTGCACTGCAGCTGAGTGCCTGAACAAAGGGACCTTTGGGGCAGAGCTGGGACCAAAAGCATGCCCTGTAAGCCACTTCCCGGCGCTCACCATACCCCATCTCGGCACTGCAAACCAGAAGGAGGGCTGCCGTCAGGAACAGCCTCAGACCACGAGGTCAGACAGGTCCCATGCAGACCTCAAGGGCTGTCAGAAATGAAAGTGAACTCAGTGCCATGTCAGTCCCACCCTCAAAGTTCAACAAGTGTATTTCCATTTACTGTCAGACTCAAAGTGTTTAGAGACTTTTTTTTCCTCTTAAGTGTTGCTATTTCACACTCACCAGAAGGAGCTGCTACTTACTGTATCTCGCTTGCTAAAAATTCAATGCAAACCATGCTGAACAGCAGCATTTTCTGGGACTGATTGGTATGATTTATTTCCACATGCCAGACATCATCTATCTACAACTCAAGAACAGAGTTTTGTTTTTTTTCCAGCAGCATCCCCCTTCTCAGCAACATCCAAGGACAGCCGAGCCCTCCTACACGTTCCTGTTAGGTTTGCTAAGGTTGTCACTTAATTTTGGAGGGCCAAATGTGATGGTGTGCTGCTTCAGTGGTGAGATTTCCTTGCCATGTCAATCCGGTCCCAGGTAAGAGGAAT